TTTTGAGATGGAGTCTCGCTCAGTCGCCAGGGTGGAGTGCAGTGGTGCGATCTCAGCTCACTACAACTCCGCCTCCTGGGTTCAAGCTATTCTCCTGCCTCAGCCTCCCAAGAAGCTGAGACTACAGGTGTATGCCACCATGCCCAACTAATTTTTGTATTTTTAGCAGAGACAGGGTTTCACTATGTTGGCCAGGATGGCCTTGATTTCTTGATTTTGTGATCTGCCTGGCTCAGCCTCCCAAAGTGCTGGGATTACAGACGTGAGCCGCTGCGCCTGGCTCCATCTATCTTTTTTTGTGAAGTGTCTGTTCATATTTTTTGCTTATTTCTAAAAAATTTGTATTATGTTTTTATTACTGCGTTGCTGTAGTTTTTTAATGCATTCTAGAAACCTGTTCTTTGTCAGATTTCTTTTGCAAATATCCTTCCCAGCCTGTGGTTTGCATATTCATTTTCTTAGTGATAATTTTGATGAGCAGAAGATTTTACAGTGTTAAATAATGTCTAATTTGTCAGTTTTTTCTTTTATGGTTATTCTTTATTCCTATGAAACAAAACTTTTGTCTAACCCCATCATGAAGATAATCTCTTCTACTTTTCTCTAAAAGCCTCCAAAATTTTAGTTTTACAGTTACATAATTCATTTCAAAGTAATTTTATATATGATATGAGATAGAGGTTGAGGTTGTCTACCAGGAAAGCTCATCAGAGACTCAGCGCCCAAGTACTTAATTGGGAGCTGACATGTAGATAAGTTACCCTCTGCCTTGTATATACCAGAGTTCTAGATTATCAGGAGAATGTGTGTTAGCCTAAACTACATTGTAGTTCAGGCACAGTACATACAGATATATAAATTTTGTTTTAAAGCAACCAGTAATTTCCTTGGAATCAAATTGTCAGTCTTTCTTGGTTGCTAGCTCTAATCTCTGTGCATGTCATCCTGTGTACTGTTGGAGTCTGCCCTGTGCACACATGGTTCGTGGGTCAGGCAGACATTTGCACAGAATTTATATTCAGAACTTGGGGCCCTGTCTCTGTGGCTCTCTCCTTTGTATTATTCTGTCCTCACCTCCCAATGGGTGTGGTGTTTCCTTGTATCCTGGTTGTTAAGGCCAAGAAGGTTGTGCGCTTTTAACTGTAGTTTTTGCCGTCTTTCTTGGCCCAGACCTGCTTTCAGAGCAGAAACCATGGAAAGGAAAATATAGTGGTGTTCCTGTCTTCTATGTTATCAACTCTCCCCTCTAGATCTGCTTGCTTTTATTTTCACGCCAGTGCCTTGAGATCAGGAGTTAGTTAATTAAAGCCCACCTGATTTTTACAAATAAAATTTTATTTGAATATAGCCATGCCCATTTGTTTAACTTACTGTCTTATTTTGTTACAAAAGCAGCTAAAGACAATAAATATGGTTTTTGGACTTTTAGTATAATAATCTTTTTTTTTTTTTTTTAACTTCAGACTTTATAAAATGTTACATTTGATCTTTATTACATCAGGGACACTACAAATGGGAAAGATAATAATTTCACAGTTCTCCTCATTGATATTTCCTATCAGCCTCCACTTCTCTCCGAGTTCTCACCTGGAGCCACATTGATTCTGGAGCAGGGTTCCTTGCACTGAGCAACCTAGCATTAAAAGGAGGATTTCTTTTTTTTTAAAAGGTCACTTTGTAAACTGCTTGTCTGTTGGAACTTAGGGCATATGTAAAATAACAACTAGCATCTTCATAGCACCTTTTCTTTCATAAAATGCTTTACAGACAGAGTGTGGTGACTCATGCCTATAATTCTAGCACTTTGGGAGGCCAAGGCAGGTGGATTACTTGAGCCCAGGAGTTCAAGACCAGCCTGGGCAACACAGTGAGATCCCATCACTACAAAAAAATACAAAAATTAGTCAAGCATGGTGGTATGCATCTGTAGTCCTAGTTACTTGGGAAGCTGAGATGGGAGGATTGCTTGAGTCTGGAAGGTAGAGCTGTAGTGAGCTGTGATTGCACCATTGCACTCCTACCTGGGTGACAGAGGGAGACCCTATCTCCAGGAAAAAAAAAAAAGATATTTTAAGTCTTTGATTTGGTAATATTCAGTATATAAGAAGACTGTATTATAAGTGCTTTCTGAATATTTATTTTATTTTACTTTTTTGAGGTTGAGACAGGGTCTTGTTCTGTTATCCAGGCTGGAGTACAGTGGCACAATCTTGGCTCACTGCAACTTCCACTTCCCGGGCTCAAGTGGTTCTCATGCTTCAGCCTCCCAATTAGCTGGGATTAGAGGCCCAACTAATTTTTTGTGTTTTCAGTAGAAACAGGGTTTCACCATGTAGGCCAGACTGGTGTCGAACTCCTGACTTCAAGTGATCCGCCTGCCTTGGCCTCCCAAAGTGCTGGGATTACAGGTGTGAGCCACTGCGCGCAGCCAATATTTATTATTGTATTGAAGAAAACATCCTGAAATATTCTTCTCAGAAGATTAAAAGAATAAATCTTAAATGCATTCATAAATCAGCAAATATATAGCTTTATCTTTTTTGGCTTTTTTTCGTATGTCTTTTCTAAACAATATGGTAACATAGCTGATAAACATATTGATAGTTTAGCTTAGCTTGGGTAATTAGCCTAGTGAATAACCTCACCTCTGGTAGGTATGTTGGATTAATGCTGGAAATGCCCCATAAAGAAGAATACATCTGATCAGAGTTCTTCCTATTTTTCTTTTCCCATTTCTTACCCTCACTCATGCCCCAATTTTAAAGCCATCATCTTTACATTTCATTTGACTGGTGTGCAATATTATGACACTGTTATTGATTCAGAATATACTTAGATCTTCCTGTTTATGTTTGTTCAGCCATATTTAATTGTTATTTTTACTTAGCCCATCTTAGATTTGAAATTTGATTACATTCAATGTGATTAAAATATAGGCTTTTGAGTGAAATAGTTTGGTAAAACTTGCTGGCCGGGCGCGGTGGCTCAAGCCTGTAATCCCAGCACTTTGGGAGGCCGAGGCGGGTGGATCACAAGGTCAAGAGATCGAGACCATCCTGGTCAA